CCGAAGGGGCTTCTTTGACACAGACAACAGCATCTGGGTCTAGCCAATAAGGTGAGTTTCAGGGATAGACTGAAGGTCCAGTAGAGACCTGGAAGCTGGGTGTGGCCTGGCCACAGTGGAATGGATGCCTGGGACCAAGGGGCGGAGACTTTGTTTTAAGTTCTTTGTTCTAGATTATTCTTCTACTTATCCAGGGAGCTCATTCACCCTCTGTCTTTAGTATCCAGCTTTTGCCCCTACTGGGGCTACTCTATTTCTTGTCTCATGTTGCCTAGAGGTAATCACATTTATCTGATTCATTTCACTCAAAACACAACAGTCCAGAACCAGTCTGAAGAGCAACAAATGCTTCCTTCCCTCTTATCTCACTGAAAGCACACCTGCCTCTTCTAGGGAGAGAGAAGCCATTGCTCCTCACAGCCTCCTGCTGTTGTGTTCCAGCTTCCTGCTTTGCTTCCCTGTTTGGTTTCGGCTCTGGGGTCCAGCTGCTGCTGACTCCTTAGAGCCCACTGATAAATGCTTTCCATCACCAGCGTCTGTAAACTAAGGTTCCACCTCCACAACACTCATTTTGGAAAGTCAAGAAATATCACACACATATTTATGAACCATATATATATTTATGTTTATATTTTAAGTGTTGCTGGGTAGTGGTGGCACATCCCTTTAATCCCAAGACTTGGGAAGCAGTCGCAGGTGGATCTTTGTGTGTTTGAGGCCAGCCTGGTCTACAGAGCTAGCTCCAGGACAGCTAGGGCTGTTATGCAGAGGAACTCTGTCTCGAAACCCCCCCCAATTAATTTTTTTAGTGTAACACAGGCAAAATGCCTTATGCTGGGTAAAGTTTAGCTGGAGTAAGAGCTGAACTCACTTAACTTCGTTTGCCTCAGAAACCTAAGCACTGCCTTCATAAAATGGGTGTTTTGGTGCTGGAGAGAGGGCTCAGTGACTTGTTGCTCTTGTAGCGAGGATCTGGGTTTAGTTCTCAGCAGCCACATGGTAGCTCCCAACTATCTGTAATTGCAGTTTCAGGGCATCCAATGCTCTCTTCTGAGCCCCTAGGCATCATGTACTCATGTGACACACAAACATACACACAGACAAAACATGTATACACATAAAACAAAACAAAACAAATCGTTCTAAAAATGCTACTTCTTCTAGAGGAGAGGCTCTCACTCCACCCCACCTCCATTTACAGAATGACTGCAGGGAACAGTGAATTAATGCTGCCATCTGCAACTGGAGTTTCATTTCTCTTCATATATTTTGGTCTTAAAAAGAAATTTGGCAAATTTCAAAAAGATAGCTTAGCCAAACCACTTCAAAGAGTTTCTTCTCAGCAAAGAGACATCCTCTGAGATTTATGTCTAGGGACCTGCAAGATGGCTCAGCTGGCAGAGGCCCTTGATGTCAAATCTGAGTTTTATCTCTGGTACCCACATGATAGGAAGGAACCAGGCCCTTGCAGGCTGTCCTCTGACCTCCACATGGCACACAAATACCCCAATAGCACAATACGTAAGTGTATAATATTTAGATCTGAGATACTAATTTTTAAAGTTGCTTATAATAAAGGAAAATGTTAATAATCATGTAATACAATGCATCTACTAAGTGTTCCATTTCTTATGATCTTAGGTGTTGAACCCAGGACTCTATACATGTTGGGTAAGTGTTTTACCACTGAGCTGCATGCCAGGTATCTTATTTTTAAAAATAGTTTATGACATGGACTATACTCATGCTACAATATCATGCAACAGCAATAGCTGTATCAAAAACCTTGGGAAAGAAAACTAAGAAGGCTGTAAAGTCACATATGGACAGTTTTCATGATGACCTAGTTTACTCAAGGTGTAAACACAGACAGAAAAGTAACTATAAGTCAGCACGGTGCGATTTTTTGCTGGCTAACTATCAGTAAGGGGTTCTTAAGGCACTACTTTTATTTCCTTTAAATCTTATGTCTCCTTCCAAATGTTCTTGTAGGGATGTTTTATTTATCAGTTCATGCATCTATCCAATCAACAGGTAGTGAGATGTCAAGCCTTCTCTTTTGTGCTACAGAGATTCAAACAAACCATCTAGAACAACACACTCCTCGGTCTACCCAGTGTTTATAATCCTTTTAAATAAAGAGAAATAGCTTTTTATTGCACGATTAGTAATTGCACTAATGAGAACCTTTTCTGGTTAAAAAATATAAAGCAAAAGTATGATATGGGAAAGTTCATGGAAGCATTAATAGGAATGACAGAAATATCCAGAATTGCTTACCAACACAACAGTGGGGGAAACGATTAAATAAAACATTTATACAATGCAATACTATTTTGTTTCCGAAGACATTTTTTGTTTGGCAGTTTCACACATTTATAAAAATGAGTTTAAGTCATTCTTGCCACATCTTCCTCTCTTATCTCCCTTCCTCTCTGAGAAAACATCTTCTCAGTTCCCCTTCTACTCCCACGTGTTCTTTTTGTATGTGACCTACTGAGTTTGATTAATACTTATACCCAAAGAAGGTAAGCTGTTAATGTTTCCTATTAGTATCGATGGAAAATGTAAGCTACAGAAACACAGCACGTGACATCCATGGAGCAGTTAGTACTCATAAGCAGAGTTTCAAATGTTAACAGGTGTTATTTGGGATGGGGAGGTAATGGTTTGGATTTTTGTGGCTATGCTCATTCTGTTTCCAAAATCTTCTGCAATAAATAATACTTAATTTTATGTCAGGAAAAAAAACATGCTGTCATTTTCAAAGATTTGGTTCAGAAGTTGTCTGTTAATAATTCAAGGGACATTAAAATATTTAGCATCTCTTGTAAACATTTCTTGTAACTGCATATCCATGTTGGTGGAAGGAGTGAGCACTCCCTCAGAGACAACTTACTACCCCTTTCTTTCTACAGTGTTCTTGGGGTAGAATGAATGAGCATGCATGCCAAAGACACCTTCATCATCAGGGCCCTGAAGGAACGAACTCCCAGAGTGCTCCTGAAGCTGGGTCCTGACTCTAATTTGTAAAGTGTAACCTGGAGCATGCACCTGTTGGCACCCCTGAGCCCCGTCAGCACATAGCAAACACCTGGCCTTCCTTGTGCTCTGGCATTTGATGTCCTCAGAGCCACTGGGCAGTTGTCCCACTGCTTTAGGGTCCTGTCATGGTTTATAAAGATAAACAGCAGTGGGGTTGAAATCTGACTCCCTGCAACAGTCTATTGTGAAGACCCCAACTCTGATTCTCTATCTTAATCTCCTAAGATCCCTAGAAAAAGCAGGTCGTGGAACATGTTCCTGTGAAAATCAGAGGGACAGTGTGACTGCTGGTGTTACATCAGCTGCCCAGCGCTTAGGTGGCTCACACCAATTGGCAAGTCTCCCTGAAGCTCAGGCAAGGCTTCAATGCAGAAAAATCAACTCAGCTCTAATACATGGAACTATAAAAAGCATGCATGTATAGAACAGAAATGCTATGTCTCGTTGTACTAATATATCAAGCTACACATAGTTCTGGTGGTTATTTATTTAGTTTAAGGAATCTTCCATGGGTTAACTGAACTTGTCAATACAGAAATATTTGCAGGCACATCTCATTTTCAGCAAAATCAGTATCTGAAAGCTGGCACAGTTCAAATGACAAGCTTGTAAAACAATTCCTTTCATTAGCACTTTGAATAATTGGTTTACATCCTGCACTTAAAATACAAATTGATTCACACAACATGTTCGATCTAAGACACATCAAGAGGAACTTATAAACAACAGTTGTATGCCACTGCCAAGATAGGAATGGGGATTTTTCTTGGTTTTTAAAAGTATTCATTCACTACAGACACTAAACTGCAATTCATATATGGTCTTCATATGAAAGAGAGTTGTAATTTGAGATTTTTTTCCTTGATGTTTGTATCTAATGCTTTCCTTGGATTTCTCACATCCATTTATCTCAACAATAATGGAAAAACAGTCCACTTTCAGCCCTTGTGGTAGTTGTTAAACACACTTTTACATCTCAGTAAACACAGGGTAGCCCTGTTCAGATAAACCATGCATGAAATACCTGGGATACCTATGGGAAAGTCAATACCAATAAATCTTTGCTGTAGTCACCAATTTCCCCTCATGATACCTGAAGAGCCATTCATTCCAGAACGCCAGCCTCTGTGTTTGAAATAGCCAACCTTTGCAATTCCAACAGGCTTTTGGAACCCTAATCTGAGGGTTGGAGGAGACTAGTTTCCAATTATTTCTAACAAGTAGGTTTCCCTGTAGATGCACTGGCTAAGAAACATTGACCGTTCATAGAAAAAAAGAAATTGAGAAATCTCCTTGAGCATACTTCCTGGACCCCTGCCTGGGGAAGCCCTGGGAAGGAACCTGCTTCTCTGTCCTGAGTAGGAGGCTCCTAGCAGCACCCAAGATGCTAAATGAGAAGCTGAAGTGTTTCAGGATTGCAGTCAAATGGTTTGCACTCTCAGTTAACACCTGAGAGTAGAAATGGGAGTGGAAAGTTCCTGAATCTTCAGGAAAAGGTGAAAACAAATGAGGGGTTTGCTGAGGTATACTTAAAACACAAAGCCAAGAGTGCAACACTGAGTGACAGATGTAGAGGAATCCAAGAAGCCCTGGGCAGGGTCAAGGTCTCTGGCCAAGCCCTTGATATCCCACATCCAGGCACTAAAGTAAAAGGAGAGAAAGAATGTATGGGACAGAGCAAGACGGGAGTTAAAGAGACTGGAGGGCTGGTGGATGGATGTAGAAAGGGACACTAAATAAAGGAAATGGAAGTATTGAAAGGAAGAGAGGCTGGTGAGGAGTGGGAAATGATGAGAAAGAAAGATCCTAAGGATCTGGGCTTCTAAGACCAAAGGGACCCAGAAGGCAGGCAGGCAGAGCCCCAGGCCATGGAGGCACAGTCTGGTTCTCCAGGCACCCATCTTCCAGCCCCAGACCTCCTTCCAAAGTCACCATTCTCAGTTTTACAGACTCACCTGTCGAAGGCCACAGCAGTCATGGAGTAGATACTGGCGAAGACAGCAGCAATGGGAAAAAAGTTATGAAACTTGCAGTAGAAGAGACCATAGTACCACTCGTTGTGGACTGCGTAGGTGAAGTTCACCACCGTATTGAATGCAGCCATGGAGGCCTCAGCAAAGGCCAGGTTTACCAGGAAATAATTGGTCACTGTCCTCATTCTCTTGTGGGCCAAGATGATCCACATCACCACCACGTTGCCCACCACAGAAGTCACCACGATGACCGTGTAGGCCACTGCCCAAAGGACAATTTGCCAGGCAGGCTGCACGAACTGGTTGGACTCAGAAGTGTTGGTGGAGATGTTGGGGAAGAGGTCTGAGTCCACTGTAAGGACGTTATCCATTTTGGGGGAAGGCAGCAAAGCCCTGGCTTCTTTAAACACACACACACACACACACACACACACACACACACACACACACACACACACACACACACACACACACACACCACGCACCCCTCTTTGCTGCAAAACCTTGTTACAGACTCCTGAGGCTTCAGGTCCTGCCACACAGAAGGTGGGAAGTTTCCTGGGCAGAACTCAGTCCTTGTTAGCAGGAGGCTTGCTCGGAGGAGCAAACGAGTCTCCTGTGTATGTTCTTTGCCTGGCCCTCTTGCCTCTAAATTCCTCTAAACTCCAAGCTAGGCTCTCCTTTGCACTGAAGCTCTTGTACTCCTCACAGTTCTAGACAGGAAGACAACCCCGCCTTTCTGCACCTGCGGCTGCTACCAACTCCCACCAACAGGCATGCGGCGGGAAAGGCAAAGCTCGGTGCTGCGTGAGGACCTGAGGGGGAAGGAGGACTGCTCTCAGCTCTGCTTGCAAAAGTTCTGGTCCTCTGGCCCAATTCTGGGGTCCACATCCAGCTGGTGAGTTCCCTTTTGCTTTGCTTCCTTGAAGCCTTCTCCTCTGCTGCCGCCTGCCCGCCCGCAGCTTCTTGGTCCTTCTGGGCTCAGGAGTTAGCAGAACCCTGGCAGCCTGCGCACGAGGTTTTTATAACCCGCTGCAGAGACGTCACTGGGAAGGGGCTGTACCTGGACTGCGTACTCTCTGGTCCCTGAGCGCAGCGCAGCAGCTGCGCCAGCTGTTGGCAGCTGTGTCGCTCCACAAACCGCAACCACCACGCCTTCTGCTGCTCGTGACCTGCCGTGGGCGTTCTGCAAGCCAGAGGAACCCAGCCCTCCGCGAGGGGGCGACAAGGTGGCCTGGGAGAAGACCCAGATAGGGTCCTCAGAGGGAATCGCGGTTGTACCAGGGATGCTAGCAGAAAAGAACTGGTTTTGGAAACAGCTGAAGTGGAGGATAGTTAACTCTGTCCTCCGGTGTCCCAGAGTTAACAGCCCCGGTGCCCTGCGGCTATCTCTACCCTCTACAGAAATGCTAAACTGGCTTCGGTGGGAGTCCGGCGAGTATGGGGGTGGATAGCTGCCACTGTGCTCACAGTTGCTACCGCGCAGTGACAGGTGACCACACCCTGCTTCGGAAGTCCGGAAGACAACTTTCCTTGTGTTAAGGAAACCCCCAGATACCTAGCACTGTTCCCTAGTGGACTGATTCCTCTCCCCCGCACCCCAGCCCCCAAAGCAGTGATGGGCTCCAAGCATTTGGGATACCTTTCCCAGTCACTTTGATGATTTGGTCCCTCTCTAGCAGCAGCTAGTCTGCGCTTTGCAAGGGAGCTAGCGACTGCCCTCAGCTGCAGACCCTGGGGACTATGCGCAGCTCTCTGCAAAGCTTGGTGAGTGCAAGAGCCGGGCACAAGCCCGATGGCTTGTCGCCCGGACTGACAATTCTGGGCTCTTGGCCAGCACCCTTTGCGGACTAGCTCGCCCCCGCCAACCTCGCAGCCTCTTTCTCTGTTCCTGTCTGGCTTGTGAGGCTAGGTGAAACTGGAGGGGCACGAGAAGGGTCTTCACCAGGTCCTCCTTTCCAGTCTTGCACCCGGACTGTCTGGCAACATTCTTCCTGTCCCTTTCCCCATTCTGCCTGGCATCCAAGGCGGTTTCAAAGAAGTCGATGGCTGAACAGGGAGCAGACGGGCAAGGCTCCCCTGCAGCATCAGCCCTTTTGAAGAAGCCTAGATGGGTCGGGCTCAGGAGTGTGTTCCTGGCAAGTTGCCCTTGGCGAAGCTCCAGGGGATCCCAGCTGCCCCTCAGGAGGTCTCCTCCACCACTGCAGTTCTAGAATCTGTGAGATGCCCACTGGGGTGGGGAACACTGGTTGGTTGCTATGGGTTGTGTCTCTCCTGGCACCAGGAGAGAAGCCTTTGAACACTAGTTTAGCACTGTGTCGCACATGAGGTGCTTTGAGGCTGTGTAATTTATTGCTCTGGCTTCAGCTAGGCTAATACTGGTTCCTCTGGTACAGGAAGGGAAGGGGCTACTAAACTCTGGTTTTGTTGGAGCCTGAGATTTTGGCAGTTAAGGAACCGAGCTTCTGGTTTGCAGGTGCCTTGCAGGCATCCCTCTCCCGAGATGACTTTCAGGGAAGAGCTCTGTGCTGCTCCCGGATTAAGAGGAGTGGCAGTGGAAGGGCTTGTCTTCTCTACCTCAGATCTCTCTCTGCTGCGCTGAGATCCAGAGGGTGAGGGGAGAGGAACAGAGAGGACTGGAGTAAGCAAGCCCTTATAGTCCAGTGAAGAAAGGGGTAACGATTATACAAAGTAGGCATTGTTTCAGGACCTAACAAGGGAAATTCAGGGAGAAGCCTGAAGGATGAGCTAGGACTAGAAGGAGCTGAGGTGAGACAGAGAAGAATGTTTCAGAGGCTTTGTAAACTGGCCCATGTCACTTTGGTTAAAGTCCAGAGAGCACCCTTTTCATCTAAAACCACACGTACAGTGTCTCCCTGAGCGTCAGTGTCTCCCCGAGCTTCAGGGCTTGTGTTCATGAGACTGGCTTGACTGGTAATGATATTTTAAATCTGGAGTACTTACTACTTCCTAAGGTTAACATCTCTCCCAGGAAAAACCAAACATACTCATGTTGGGTTCAGGGTTAGTAGAGCAAGAGCACCACCAACAAAAGCCTCATTCCAAAATGGGAGGTGTCACTCATGCTGTGATGAGGGAGATATCCTTCTGAGTATTAGCAACTTTTTCACCTAGGGCTGATTACACACCTTAACTGTAAACTCCGACTACCTGCACACACTGACTAACTGCACACCCTGACTCACTGCACACCATGACTGACTGAACACCAGGAGCATGCAATTTTCCTTTGAGAGCTGATTTTTTTCCACTTTATTTTCTTATCCTTTTGTTCCCATCCCACTGTTCTTCCTTGACACACAAGACAGTCACCCATCCCAAAGTAAATCCTGTTGACAAAGTAGTCTAAATCCTTGCTTATTTGCCCAGGCTTTCTGTAGACAGACAGAAACACAAACACATAATACCCATGCTGGTAAATGCAAACAGGGGATTTCCATTGTGTCCCACGTGCTACTTTTCTCATCTGAAGCCTTGTCCAAACACTCCCAAGCCAACAGGTATGGATTTAACCCATTCTTTCTGATGATTAAGTGTTATTTCTATGCTATAGGTACAGTCTAGCTTACACATTCATTTTTCTATTGCCCCTGGGGACAATGCTACAGGGTTGTAGAACGACTCTGGTTCAGAGTATGTTGTGATCAGAGTTCAGTCCCCAGCACACAAGGGAGGGGGGTGTCTACAATGGCCTCCAGGAATCCAGTGCCTCTGTGATCACTGGCATGAAACGCGCATGCGCATGCACACACACACACACACACACACACACACACACTTATAAAAGACAAGGCTACCACAGAAGTTCTTCACTTATGTCTCCAAAGCTGGAGGCTATGATGGTTTCTTTTATTCTTCTTCCTCTTCCCTTTCCCTCTTGTTTAATATGCAGATCAAGAGTTTGAACCCAGGGCCTTGCACAGGCTCGGCAAGCACTCCAGCACTGAGCTACATCCCCAGGTATCAATGATTCTTCTCTATGTGATCAATTTTGAGTGGAATTGCTGGGCAATGCGAACACTGGCAATAGTCACACAATTAATACAAGATACTTATATCCTTATTCATATAGTGTGATTCTTATGCACATATGTAGATATGATGTGTAACTCTATATATTTATATTATTTTGTTATTTATTTATTTTTGTTTTTACATCCCAATCAGAGTTTCCCCTTCCTCCTCTCCTCCCAATTCTGCCCCCTCACACTTCCTCTACCCCCCACAACTTCCTCCCCCATCCCTTTTTCCTTCTTTGTTTCTCTTCAGATACTGGATTCAGTGAGCCACGGTATATTAAGTTGTGGTGAGACCATGCACCTCCCCTTCTAGTAAGGCTGGATGAGGCAATCCAGTTGGAGGAAAGGGTGCCATAGGCAGAGTCGGAGGCATCTACTGCTCTCCACATCCTCTCCTGCATAAACTGTCACTTGTGTTTTAATCTTAGCCATTCTGTCAGGTGTAAGAAATCTCAGAGTCATTTTGATTTGCATTTCCTTAATGGCTTAAGAATGTTGAATGTTTCTTTAAGTGATTATCAGCCATTTGAGAGTCCTCTGTTGAGAATTCTCTGTTTAGATCTATATCCTGTTTTTTAATTGGATTATTTGGTTTGTTGATGTCTAGTTTCATGAATTCTTTATATATTTTGGAGGTCAACCCTCTGTCAGATATGTGTTTGGTAAGGATCTTTCCCAGTCTGTAGGCTGACATTTTGTCTTATTGACAGTGTCCTTTGTCTTACAGAAGCTTTTCAATTTCATGAGTAATGGGAAGTCCTGTGTGTGCATGTCAATAAAGCACTGTTGGCCAATAGGGAAGCAAGATAGGTGGGACTAGGAGTCCAGGAGGACTCTGGGTAGGAGAAACACGGGGAGTCATCATGTAGCCTGCCAGAGAAGTAAGATGTCCGTCCAGTAAGAGAAATACTTAGATGGGTTAAATACTTAAGTCAGAGCTAGCCAGTAAGAAACAAGCAAGGCCAACAGCTTCATAATTAATACAGTGTCTTGTGTATTATTTGGTAGAGCCCAGGTGACTGGTGGGGAAAAATCAAAGCGGCTGACAAGGAAAGGGCTTCTCTCTACGCATGAGGTCTCATTTATTAATTGTTGATCTTAGAGACTCCACAATTGGTGTTCTGTTCAGGAAGTTGTCTCCTGTCCCAATGAGTTCAAAGCTATTCCCCACTTCCTATTCTATCAGGTTCAGGTGTAACTGGTTTTATGTTGAGGTCTTACATCTGCTTGGACTTGAATTTTATGTAGGGTGATAGATATGGATCTATTTAAATTCTTCTACATGCTGGCATCCAGTTATACTACTACCATTTATTGAAGATGGTTTCTTTTTTTCATTGTGTAATTTTGGCTTTGTCAAAAATCAGGTGTTTAGGTATATGGATTTACTTCTGGGTCTTTGATTTGATTCCATTGATCAGCTTGTCTGTTTTTATGCCAATACCAAAGTTTCTCTGTCATACAGCTTGAAATCAGGGATAGTGATACCTCCAGAAGTTCTTTTATTGTACAGGATTGTTTTAGGTACCCTTGTGTTTTTTTTTTATGTGAAATTGAGTATTGGTCTTTCAACGTCTATAAAGAATTGTGACTGAATTTTGATGGGGTTGCACTGAATCTGTAGATTGCTTTTAATAGGATGGCCATTTTTTTTACTATATTAATGCTACAGATCCATGAGCATGAGAGATCTTACAACTCTGTATGTTCAAATTGCCAGATTGTCTTCCCCAAAAGCCACAGCACTGTTACCTTGCCTCGTAGTTTATCTTCCCAGTATTCATTTTCTTAGGTTAAAAAAAAGGTTATTTTATTTTTCATTATGTTTATGTTTCTGTGGGTATGTGCATTTGAGTGCAATGCCTACAGACACCAGAAGAGGACATCAGATCCTAGAGGTGGAGTCACTGTGTTTGTGAGTCCCTTGTGGTGCACTGCTGGGGACTGAACTCAGGTCCTCTTCAAGTGTAGTATGTACCCTTAATCACTGAGCTACCTCTCCAGCCCCCAGTGCTAGATTTGAAAAGCTGTTTTAGCTCTTTAGAAGTCTGTATTAGTGGTTATAACACACTATAAAATTTTTCCAGCTACTAGAGCTTTTGGCTATTTG